CAGTCTCCACCTCATGCGGATTCACATAAGCTTGACAATTAGGGTTTAGGGTTTAGGATTTAGGGTTTAGTGTTTAGGGCCTTTTAGGGTTTAGGGTTTAGTGTTTAGGGGTTTAGGGTTTAGGGTTTAGGGTGACAACTTCTCCACATCAATTCCTGCAAGACCCTGAGTCTTATACATCCCTTCCTAAACGGGCCTAGGCCCCAAACCCTGAAACCCAGAAGCCCTAAACCCATTGACGGTTATGGCTTCGGGTTTAGGGTTTATAACTTTAGGGTTGGCCCATAACTCCTAAGCCACGCCGTCGCCAGGCCTCGGCGAATTCGGCGACCTCACAAAGGAGTAGTTTTCGATATGCGAAGGACAATTTCCAAAGAGGATGCTTACGTGTAACCAATAATTACCCAAAGGGTCTTGTACTGTTATGGGAGATACTTTCCTGAATCATAATAACAATTCTGATTATAGAAACCCTACATTCTACTATGTAGCTACTTTGGTCCCTTTGGGTTAGACTAAGCTCTGGATCTTGGATCTGGTATACTCGGCCGCACGCGCAGCTGGCAGTATCATCATGGTGAGGACTTCCAGAGCCAAACCATCAACCAGAGAGATAGGGGTGCAAACGTACCTGTTTTACCCAAATGATTCCAGGACGACCTCAAAGAGAAATGATGAATGTTTCTGACTTTTCCAGAATTGATTTGCCGACAGGCCTCAATCACCTGCAGAGCGCGTGGTCCGAAGAGTAGCAGTGCGTGAACGTCTGTTGTTGCAGTTGACTTCGTTTTTACCTAGCATATGTTACTGAGATTGAGTATGCCGTTCACCAGCAACTTTAAGGATTCAAGGGATGTGCAAAAGATGTCAGGTGAAGGAATAGTGAATAGTGTCTGCAACTGAAGCTGAGTGGTGCCTCAGGAATCTTTCGTGATTGAACCCTACCGTCATAGCCGTCTCTGCCGGATCACTTCAGTCGTTACCGCTCTCGGAGTGCGCTCGACTACGCCTTTGTTGTGATCGGCTTGCTATGGCAAAGGATCGGCCGGAGGTCGAGTTGCAAGTGACGCGCAAGTGACGTGCAAGCGATGTGCAAGGGATGTGCAAGCGATGTGAAAGAGATGACTGTTGAAGGAATATTGCCTGCAACTGAAGGTGGGGGGGTGCAAAGATCCTGTGGAGGGGGAGTGTTTGCATCCCATTGAGCTCGAAAGGGCGCGCGCGCGCGCGCGCGCGCGGGTGTGTGTGTGTGTGTGTGTGTGTTTGTGTGTGTGTGTGCGCGTGTGCGGGTCTGTGTGCGGGTGTGTGTGTGTGTGTGTGCGTGTGTGTGTGAGTGTGTGTGCGTGCGTCTGTCAATCCCTGTTTCCAAGACGGCTTTTATGCAGGTTGAGTTTTGTCAGCTTTCCCCAAAAGGTCCAAGTATTAATATGGTAGCTACTTTCTAGGTATTTGGGCCCCAAAAAGTCTATACACCCTAAACCCTAAACCCTAAACCCTACACTATAACTTGGACCCTTTGGGTTTGTGAGCGCAAGGGGCCGGTTCCCTAGGAAGACATCCCCATGAAGGGGTGCAAAGGTACCTGCTTTCTGACTGTGCCTCAACAGCGATGGCTGGTGACATACTTAAGTGTTGAGCTGTACATG